ATCTTCATAGGAATGCCTTATCTTCAGAGTCAGATTAGAAGCTGGTTGAAGGCAGGAACAATGTATTTATAGAGATGTCTATCAGAGCCATGTGTCTGATTAGTAGTATTCTGTATATTTGTTGAATGAAAGAATGCAAATCAACACAGTTTTAAAGCAGTGCATGAGCCACAGTATATCAAGTGATTCTCACCTGTTTAAAGCACTTGTGAGATCTAAAGACCAAGCTGCCCTCTCAACTTGCCCTTTGATATACTGATACCTTTGAAATAGTAGTTACAATTTGTTTTTCAAACTTGCAAAGAAAAAAACTTATTTTTCTTTAACCTTAACCTATAGCTTAGAATTATTAAGAAAATTATCCTATTATGAATACTGAGTGACATTGAAACATGCTGAACATACACTATCATCTGTTTAATTTTAAAAATGTTTTTTGAGATAAATAAGGCATTGTTGTTCTCCTTTACTGAACACTACCTTTATATATAGTTCCAAATTACGAGATTTTACTGGCTTTGAAACTGCCTTGGATTTCACTTTAATAAAACATTATTTAAAAATATATCCTTTCTATGAAATCTACATTTGTTAATATAATATTGATTCTTTATGTATATTGTGTCACATCTATGTTAGACTTTGATCATCTAAATGGTTTGAAGCTGAGGATTTTTATAGATAATTTAACATATATGTTCATAGAGAAGTGATGTGCCTAGGATGAGCAAAGTTTAATACCATATTCTTTTAATATTTAAGAGTTTTTCTAAAGATTGTTGCAAAATTAAAAAGCTTATAAAACCTTCAGAATACTTTTCATATAATAAGTAACTTGTTTCATCTGGTATCTTTGTTATTTCTTTTGTTTCGATTTTGTTTATTAACACAGAAAAGCTCCACTGGCCTGAGCAAGAACATGCTAAGAAGTCTATTTTAAATGCAGAAGATTCATTGATCATCGACAGCAAAAGAAGTATTTCACATTTATCCCCTGGAATACTAAAGGACATTTTCACAACTGGAACCAGTAGTTACAATGTCCTGCTACAGAGCAAGGAGGAGAAAAAGCAGCACTCACAAAAACAGTCTTCTTCCACCTACTCCAAAAGATGTAGAAAACCCAACAAATCTCCTAGCTCTTCCCGTGGTAAAGATTCTCGCAGGATGAAAGCCCCAGTGCCTGTGACGAGCAGTGGTACTTGGTACTGCCTGGAGAGGCAGCCTGCTGTTTTTGTCACTAGTTCAGTGTCAAGTCCTGTGAAGTTTACACATGATATCTCTGTTACAGGGAACAGCATAGTACTGCCACCTAAACCCCAAAGCAAGATCAAGCGGCGCCATTTCTCCACTCTCCTAAAGCCAAAGCAGTCGCCTCAGCTGTCTAGAAGTTTTGAAAAAGGAGATGACTTTTCTGGAAAGAAATTTTGTATATTGACTGCTATAAAGCCCACCAATTTAGAGAAAGAAAAACTGAGGTTCTTCAAGTCTGACTATACCTACAATCCTCAGTTTGAATATGCTAATCCTGCTCTGCCAAATGTGTTAGCCAAGCACAGCATCGCGTCTGACCGATTTCTTAAGCAGGTAAAATGCGACTTCATTGGTGATATTTCATTTTTATGTAGCTGAGCCTATCTGCAATCTTATAAGCAAGAAAAAAAAAGGCATTTAAAATTATTCCTATCATTTATACGTTATAGTTAACTCCTATGCAGGACATGTAAATATGTGACAAGAGATCTCCAGGTGAGTGTTATTGCCTATATGTAAACTACTTTGCGTTAATCAAAATCTATGAAGAAGGTATTATACGGACTTTTGTGGCAGAAAGCAACTTATAAGGAAAAAAGCTTCAGATTCTGGAGTTACAAACGTGTGGCCCATTAGCCACAGACAAGTGTTGGATAGCCCAATTACGTTTTTGTTTTCTAATTGATTTTTTAATGCCTTAAATGGAGCATGCAATCTCTGGTTCTTCCTATTGTATTACATTCCCAGCTTGCTTAGGCTTCTGTAGGCAGTTTGGGGACGCAGGCTTGATTCTTGCCCATGATCTTGTTAATGCTTCGCTAAAATTATTAGTCATCATCAGATAAGTAATAAAGCACTTATATAAAAAAGAAAATAATGAATTTTAAAAATTATCTTCAGGGTTAGCAAATCATGATGTGACTGATGTAAATAAGACTTTCTAAATTGAACAATTTAGCAAATAGTTTTCTGTTTTACAGGGCTATAATAAACTTCAAAACTTGACTTAAGTATTTGAGGAGAAATTGGCTGATGTTTACCTGCAGGGCATAGTTTTGAGATCATAAGGCAGACTATATCTGGTTAAATTAACTTTATACAGGTTTTTGAAATGCATTAGTCACAAGTTGGCTTTGTCAGTGATTGAAAATCTGTTTGTAAGATAGGTAAAACTGCATGGTTCCATTTGCCTGTGGTGCATGCCCTATTTTAGCATTTTTGCTGATAATAGGGTATAATTGTTTGTCAGCACCACGCTCACCCAGTGAGCAACCGGCCATCCCTATATGGGATCCGAACCC